GCCAGTTTTTATGCGGTTCTCATGTCCAACCCTTAATCCTTCCATTTTAAGTGGTTCTGTTTAATCCAGTACAAGACTTTCTCTACTTCTAACTCTTCTCATCACCTCGCTTCTGATTCTGTTCAACCCTGGAACTCCTTTAAATTTTCTCAGGTACTTCATCTCTATAGCATGTATCTTACATTTTTGTATTTTGGAGAGAGCCCTATCCAGAGATCAGGGTAAGTCTTTATAAGCTTGAACACCATCTTATTTTAGAACTTTAAACAGTTTCGATGCATCACCTACTGTGTCATTTGTTTCCATATTTTGACTTGTTTGGGTATGAATTGCCAAAGCTAAGTATTTAAAGGATTTCACTTCCTCCATCATCTCGCCGTCTCTCTCACCTGCATATTTTTCTGTTTATTTGTAAATACCATGGCTTTTGGCTTTTTGTATTTATTCTAATTTCCTGGCTATCCAAAAAGCTTTTCCATTCATCAAGTTCTGCTCGTTGTTTGTGAAAATTGCCAAATCACCAGTAAATCAGCAGGATGTCAAAGTACCGGTCTTAAGTTCCTGTATCCTTGTTGAAGCTTCTTCACCTTTGAACTTGTTTCTTTGGTCACCTGGTCCATAACAACAATGTCCGTGGGACTCAAAACATTGCTCTGCCTGAGACCCCTGCTTGTGATAAATTCTTCTGGCTCTAGACCTTTGATTCTAAACATAACACATTTCTGCATGTTTGGTACAAGCTTCTACTTGCTGTTCCCTTGATTTTCCTTATTCAAAGATTACCCAAATTTTTTTCTTTGAAGTTGTGGCAAATGTCTTTTTCAAGTCAATGAATGCTATCAGAGTCTATAAGATCTTTTCCAGTGTTTTATCGATCACTTGCTTTATGGTTAACTCATGGTTCTGAGCGCTATATCCTTCCCTGAACATCAATTTACCTTCCAGTTCCCTTTCGTAGACCTTAGCTAACCCACTTAATAGAGTTATACTCTATAGTTCTGACAATACTTATTTTCGCACTTTTTAAATATTGGCATGCTCCCATGCTATGAGCTCCCATTCCTTAGGTGTAACACCCGATTCTCATATATTCTTGAACAACGCCGTTAATATTTTCCATGCCATTTTACCCATTAACTTAATCTTTTGGGGTTTTATTAATCAATAATATAAGGGCATAAGGGCATCTATTTTCTCCAAAAAAAAAAAAAAAAAAAATGTTGCTAAGTAATATTTTAACAAGAAGCGTAGGTGTTCGTGGCAACAAAAATCCGAGTCGAAGAGGAGTTTTTTTTTCACCTGCACGAATGCTTTTCGTTAAAACAATATTACTTGGCATTGTTTTTTCGATTTTTTTTCACAGGAAAAAATTAGATGCTCGAATGGTATTTGACAAGACTATTTCATGAGTAACAGATTATTCTGCATACACATAGCTTATTTATTGACTATAAAATCAGAAATATCGTTTAGCGTCATTTTCTGGTGTCCCACAGCTGACAAGTCTTGCCGCGGGTAAGCTCAAAAAAATTGCTGACAGGTGCTGTCATACAATTTTTCCATCTAGAAACCATTTGTCATTCAAAATTGTGTATTTGTGATTGGTAGAAATTAAGACGAGGGAAATAGTCCATTATATCCTCCTATTCTTCAGTATTTTAATGGCCTCGCCAACTGTGCTTCTGAGGGATCCTGGAGGTACTCCTTCCAACATTGGACTAATTTGGTGCTTATTTGACAGCAGTTTTCCTTCCTTGTTTTTAATGTACCTTTCAGATCCGTTTCTCTCCTCTCATTAGTTCTGTAGGATAACTTCTGGTTACCTCTGCCGGTATCGTCCAACCAGTTTCCAAAACTCTATCAAGACATTTGCTTAGCTTTCTGGACTAGCTTTTTACCTTCTTCCTCTCGTTTTTATTTGAATCATACGTCTCTATGTTCCCTGACCTTAAATATTTCTTCCGTGCTCTCTTTTTCTTATTTATGTATTTTCTCCTTTATTTCGGTGCACCGCCATGCCGTTTGTTTACGATTTCTATTTACTTTAAATATTCCAGACATTTTCCCAGAGATATTGAGTAGTAAATCTACTCTAATTATACGATGTCTCTGCATATGATTTCGTATGTCACATCACTATCCTTTTGGCGTTTATAAAGCATGATTTTATCAGACAATTTGATGTTTGCTATTAGCTCATAATCATCCTTCCTATCTCTGCTCCTCTTTTAACTCTGACATCCTTTATCTCCTTCCTGTGCTGCTTTTAGACTAAGATATAGTCATCTTTCTACCGTGCTTCTGACTTTCCTGGTAAATGTACGAATATCTTTGTGCTGGTAAAAAGTATATGTTTCTACATAGCTTTCCAGACAAAACTGTATTTTCATTTTGCCATTACTGTTTTTTACAGTTTCACCGAAATTTCCAACTGCTTTATTCGACTCCTCATCTGCAGTTTCTATTATACTAAGCAAGTCACCCACGATGATTGTTCTTTCTTTGCTTCTTTCCACCAGTTCTTACAGTCGATCACAAAATTCTTCTTTATTTCCAACCCCATCATTTTCATTCGGTCCATATGCTACAATTAATGTCAGTATGCCTATGATGATATTGACTTGCAGTGTTAGTATGTTTTCGTTAATAGAAGACCATGATTTCAAATGATTTTTCCAATGTGCATTCACTAAGCAGGCTGTTCCTGTTTTAGCTCTATGAGTGCTACTCCACCATAAATCAGATAATTCTTATTGTCCATTAATTTTGGTCTCCGTGATACCCAAAATCCCTATAGAATTCTTAATAGATTCTTGAATCAACTCATCTTCTTCACCAACCAAGCTCTTAATGTTCTATGTTCCCAAGTTCCATAAAACGTTATTTTTCCGATTATCTGGTGCTCTGTTTTGGCAGTCTACTGGTTTATCCAAATTATTCTATCGGTCGGCTGCTACAAGTTTTTTTGAACTGTTAATCTGATTATTTTTTCGGTCCCATGCCCATTTAACTCCGTTTATGTATAATTTCTAGTAACCGAACTCAACTCGCTTGCCTTTATCGACGCCCTGCTTCTCAACTCGACACTTAAATTTTAAGTGAGAATCTAGGAATATTTCCAGATATTTTATGTTTAGTGCTATATTGATTTGGAGCTTTTGATTGTTTACGGTAAAAGCCTTGTATAATTTGGTAAGTGTCTAAAGTAATATGCAAAAGGTAAAAACATATATTTTGGATGATTTATGCATAATTGTCTGTTGTTGAACCACTGTAAAATTTTGATGAAAACGTTTCCAATTATGTTTTTCAGATAGGATCAATTATCGCATTTACATAATATTGCAGTTTCATCTACAAAATTTATTTTTTCGACATAATTAATTTGAAATATATCGTTCAAATACATATTAAACAGTAGTGGGCCCAAGTTATTACCTTGGGGGACACCACATTTAAGAGGCATTTCCTTAATAGGTGATATTGATATCTGAATGGATTGTTTGCGGTTTGCTTGTTTCGTAGAAAAAAATGGTTTCATTATTAGAGGTTAAATCCGTGTAAAAGAAATTCAACCCATTCTACTTTGAAAATATACTAAGTTTGGTAAGTCTCATTTTGGAAATCGTGTGTAGTATATCACGAAGGTAATACTGATTTAGTCTTTACGAGGGATGTCTTTTAAGTTTTGCATTTAGAAACATAGTAGGCCGCGCGGATCGAACGTCAGTACTGAATCTTTACCTCACTCTTTAGTAAACTTAAATTCAAAGTTTCCCAACAATACAAGCAGTGTTCTCACTACAGTGAATTTTTAAGTGTCACCAAGTCATTAGAAAAATGGAACTCAACCGAGAACATTTTCGCGCCATAATTTATTACAACTTTCAGAGACAATTATCGCAACAAGAATGCCTTGCTGAGTTACTGTCTGTTTTCGGCAACGAAGCGCCACGTCAGTCGATAATTTCCCGTTGGTATGGAGAATTCAAACGTGGACGGGTGAGTCTTAGCGATGATCCCAGGGTGGGTGCACCAAAAACGGCAGTCACCCAGGAAAACGTCGATGCTGTGCGCAAACTCATGATTGAAGATAGACATGTGATATATTGCGAGATTGAGGCGTCCTTGAAGATATCAAAGACCTCAATTCAAAAAATTTTACATGAAGAATTAAGAGTAAGAAAATTAGTTTCTCGTTGGATACCCCAACTGTTGACTGAAGGGCAGAAAGCAGCCAGGGTTAATTGGTGTCAAAAAAGGCTTGACCGTTTCAATTCCGGAAACTCAAAAAATGTGTACAGCATTGTTAGTGATAATGAATCGTGGATTTACTGTTATGAACCAGAAAATAAACGACAGGCCGGCTGTTTGGGTGTTCCAAGGTGAAGAAAAGCCGACAAAAGTCATCCGTTCTCAAAGTGTTTCAAAAAAGATGGTCGCGACATTTGTGTCAAAAGCAGGTCGGTCATATTGCAACAATTCCTCTTAATGAGCAAAGAACTGATACTGCGGATTGGTATACCACCATTTGTGTGCCAAAAGCCATCACCGAGCTTCGAAAAATCAACCCCGAAAGAAGAATCATCCTCCACCAAGACAATGCAAGCTCGCACACAGCCCAAAAAACAAGGCAGTATTTAACGGAAGAAAACGTGGATTTATTGGACCAAGTCCTAACGATTTCTTTACTTTCCCGAAAATTAAAAACAGACTGTCTGGTCAAAGGTTCCACTTACCAGAAGAAGCAGTTGACGCATTCAAAAATGCCGTTTTGGATCTGCCAGCAAACGAGTGAAATAAGTGCTTCGAAAATAGGTTGTGTATTAATCTTCGTGGAGAATACTTCGAAAAACAATAAAGTCATTTAAAAATACCTACCGTGTTGTTTTATTTCCATATGCAAAACTTAAAAGACATCGCTCGTATAACTGACATAGAATTTGCAACACTATATATCTTGGTAAGTTTCTTTCTTAAAGTGAATCGTGAAAACTTACGTTAGGCTTCAAAGGCGGTACTAATGGAGGACGTGCATGTTGATACACCAGCTTTGGAATGTCGTAAAACGGAAGCTCCAGCAATTGAGTCACCATCACTGAATATTTTATACTTTTAAATGGAACAAACCGATTGCCCATCCACAGTGATGCTTTCATCACTAGCTGAAACAAAATTGGAAAAATGCATGGGAATCTGGCTACAGAGTGACTTGATCCACAAATCTTTTAATTTGTCAAATCTAACTTGAAGGCTCCAATGGAAATTTTGATGATTCTGAAAAGCTGAAAACCGTTATGGAAATACTGGAAACTTTGCAAAGTTTGAAATTAACAAAGAAATTCTTTTTGATATTTTTGAAAAATGGAAACTTTGAAAATGACTTTTTTAAAAAATTCATTCCTCCTACCGTAAGATTCTCCATCTCTATACGCGACCAGAATGATAGATTGAGCACTTTTGTAGTCCGATTTGCGTGGCTGAGATTTCCGCTAATCTTGAAATCCTTCGTGAGATGTTCTATTATTTCCAACGCATCCTGGGAGATAACCATGGCACAATCCTACAATTTATATCAAGTCGTACTTTGATCACATCAAAGTATACAGAGTCATGAGTAGTAGGACCACTCGTGGAAACCTTCCAAAATGAAGTACTCAAATATTAGCTGAGAATCCTCTAAGTGATATAGAAACATGAATACCGAGTAATATTTAATTTACTACAAAAAATTTTTAAGTATATGTTTGTTTAGGTTAGGGCCAAAAAAGATAAGCTTTTCCACCATATCGATAAAGTGATTTTCGTCTGTTCTTACAATATGCTGTGAAGAGGTATTTTAATATGTTCATCAAGCCTAGAGTGAGAAGACGAGACAGTCTTTAACAGCCCAGCCAGTTTGACTGGGGCGAATAGTCGGCTTCTGTGTGGTTGTTCCTTTAGACAAATAGCCACCAGGGAGCACAGAAGTCTGAATACAGTGGAGCTTTGTTGTCTGGCATGGAACCAGGAAGTTCGAACACGAAGAGCTGGAGGAACAGGGTATCTGAGAAGAACACAGATTCTATTTGGGAAGGATCACGACCGTGTAGGTGTGAGAAGGCGGCGAGGTAAAAGACGAGATTCATCGGGGGCTATTCCTTACAGAAGCAGGTTACCTTTGGTATGCGTCAGAGGTAAAATGACCGCCGTGATTCAGGTGGTAAAGGAACCACATGTTTTGCCTTTTATACAGAGGCTCATCAATCCACTTTTTCAATCAGATAATGCGCGACTACATATAGCCAAAATTACGTTGGTCCATTCAATCCAATCAAGTCGAGTTGTTGCCTTGGACCCTAAATCTTACGCTGTTCCACTCATTGAACACGTCTGGGACATCATGGGTATAATATTACTCCGTTTGTCCCATACTCCACAGACTGGAACGGTGCTTGGCCTGAGACGGAGACTCCTCAAGAGTATATCGATCATCTGATCAGAAGAACGACCCTTCTCGCATATGAGTTGGACCAACGAAATATATTTATAGAATGTTGTATTTGTGAACTAATTCTTATTTATTCAAAATAACTTGAACAGAAACAACCTGGATACTTTGATGCTATGTGATATTAACAACTAATCGACAATATTTGATATATATATATATATATACGTATATATATATATATATATACTTATATCTATATATATATATACAAATAAAGAGAAAATGATCATGATCATAACAAAAACATAGGAAAATAATGGGCAAAATCCGCAAAAAGAAGGGAAGTGGATTCGAACAGGAAATAGGATAGGTAACTCGAGCGATACGTATTTCTGCTGGTTGGCTTCATCAGGCCCGAAACGAATGCAGATATGCAATTATAAAAGTAGATACACATGCCCATATATCCGGATACGGGTGTAACCTGAAGAAACGAAGATGGAGAGGGAAAAAATCACACACGAACTCCACAACAAGAGCCAACCTCCATATTGTAGTATAAAATGGCTAGAAGACCTCGAATTTTCAAGGCGGGATCTACCTACAATCACGCGGCCGGTTATAGCCACTTGCTGTGGTACTTCAAGCCCAAAGGATCTACAAAGAGAAAATGATAATGCGGAGAAAGGTATTTACCAAAAAATAGCAAAATAATGGGCAAAATCCGCAAAAAAAAGGAAAGTGGATTCGAGCAGAAAATAGGATGGGTAACCCGAGCGATACGTATTTCTGCTGGTTTGGCTTCATCAGGCCCGAAATGAATGCACATATGCAACTACAAAGGTAGATGCACATGCCCATACATCCGGATACGGGTGTAACCTGAGGAAACGAAGATGGAGAGGGAAAAAATCACACACTATCATTAGAGCGATATAAGAGGTAATCCGGAAGACGAGACAACACTTGAGGCTAAAGTGCGAGTCATTTGATTGAAAATCTGTCTTATGTTGTCAGGCAGATAACTTTTCGCCACACCCTCGTTAGCCAGAAAATATACCTACATCATAACAAAACTCTCAGACCTCAGTTTTTTAAATGACATTTATAGTATACTAGCTGACCCGACAAACGTTGTCCTAGCTATGAACTCGGATGAATAATGAATAATAAAAGGGTAAATATATTGAATATAGGTAATTGTATAGCGAAGTGTTTGTACCGTCATGTAGTTAGCAAAATACGTTGTCAGCACTTTCATGCCCCCATCAACTTACCTTGATAGTAGGCATAAAATTATGTGGAATGAATTTTGTTGCGCATTTGGAAGCAATTATTGTACTGCTTCATATGAGTCAAAAATGCATAGAATCTGACCCATGTCTGCACCCCATGAATGTAGTGGCTCTGGTGGTGGTAACAATGGGGTCAATTTGTGGAATGAATTTTGTTGCGCCAAATCACGTCATTTGAAAGCAATTATTGTATTGCTAAATATGAGCCAAAACATGTATAGAACCTGGTCCATTTCTGGAAACCAGTGAATGGACTGTGCACTGCTAATTAAATGAAACAGTATTTTTTCATCGATAAACACAGTTAAACGATAATATAAATTTGTGGCGTGCGGTCTGTGAAGTTCAAAATGAGTAGTGAAAGTTAATTAAGCAAAAGAAACGTATTTTCATCCGCCATTTTTATTCATAGAGTTAACTGACAAAGATAATAATTAGGCAACACTGCAGTTTCTTTTGAAGGGGCCATCATAAAGTACGGAAGGTAAAAAAAGTCCAAAAACGGAAGCACCGTGTTTTCATAAGCAATTTTCTCTCACGTAGTTAACTGTCAATAGCTGTAGGAATTAAGATGGCGGAGAGGAGCGCCTGTCTCTTTTGTTACTTGAGATATTAGTTCTGCTGTGCGTGCTCCATGCTCAAACAAACTGTCTAACGCACGTAGCTTAAATAATCATTAGGTTTTCAGTGATTTCCCAATTTTTTGCGCAATTTTCTTGATTTTTATTTCCGTAAGAACCTTCTATACAGCATTAGAAAACTTCTAAAAAAAGCTGATTGAAATCGGTAAAGTCGTTCTCAAGTTATGGCGTGACCACGCAAAATAGCGATTCATTTATATATCTATATATACACCTGTACAGATTATCTCACCACCAAAAATCCCACGTCAGTATCTAACATGTTGACCTGTCGCTAAGCTTATTACTAACGGTGTGAACTCAGGCTTAAGCGGTGCCGCCATACTGTCCAAAGACAACACGTTTTTCCAGCGACGGATAGTCTCGGCAAAATCCCACACTTCTGATTGCTGCGGCGACTAATGTTTGATTCAACGTTGATTTAGGAAGAACCTGGCTTGATTGGGGAGTGATCCTACTACTCGTGTCTGTACACTTTGATTATACCGTGCGTTTGATGGTAGTGGGACCGTAAGAACAGGAACGATTAGGCGTTGATTACCATGTGTTGGAACAACGTTATGATGACGAACAGGCTGGAAATCGGTCCGATTCCCATAGCAATTCAAATGGCCGTACTGTACGCGATTGCAGTTGATCACAGGAAGCATGTGAACTAGTCGTTTGTAGAGGCAAACGTTAAGTGTAATTCTTTATATAGTACAGGTATTGTCAGATAATTGGGTAGAAACCAGGATATCTAGAATTTGAAAAAACTTTAATAAGCTATTCTGCAATGGAACTAAATGCTTGAGGGTATATGAAAAGGTCCCTCGTCGAGAGATACAAACATTTTTGCAGGGTAATTTCTTTTTATTAAGCGTCAAAGTTGTAGAAATTGTTTTCGCGTATATTGAAATAGTTAATAATTATCGGTCTAAGAGGTCCAAAAAAGATGTAAAAAATGAAAACACCTTTAAAATGAGACGTCACAAAACCAATTTGCTGGATCGGTTAATTTATTATTTCAAATAAATGTCAGCAATCGTCGACTTCCTTACTTATTTTTTACCGGAAAATGCGGTTGCGGTTAAGTTGAAAGAAATCAATAAAGAATGTTCTACGGTTTCTGCAAGTTTCTAATTGTTACTAATCTTTTGAGTTAAACCAGAATTTTTGGACGGGCTGGCCAGCGTCTTTGGTTCAATCAAATGGCCTCATATTGGGTACATTATCTTGCTAGAGACTTATTTTAACATCCTATTGAGAAAGATATCACATTTCCTAATACTATCAATGTGAACAAGCATCGTATAAAAGTTTTTTTCGAAAATCGTGAAATGAAAAGCTGATAAAAATACGTCCGTTGACGAAAAAAGGGGTTTTTTTAACTTCTAGAGGCCAAAAGAATGATAAAAATACCTACAGTGCTTCGAATTCATGTTCTGTTTCAATATTAAATAGTCTCTAGCAGAAGAGTGAGCTGAATATGAGGCAATTTGATTGATTTACAGTTCCTAATCAGCTCGTCGAAAAAAGCCATTTTGTCATTTGCAATCCCCACAACTTTTTTGGACCACTTCAATAGATCACAACTATTTGAATATACGAGAAAAAGTGATTTTTACAACTTTGACGTTTAGTACAAAAAATCTAGCATACTCTTGTGTCTCTGGATGAGGGAGGTAAAACGATTTTTTTTTGTTCGCTTGGTCTAGTGAGCAAAATGTCAGTAGCGCATCTGAATAAAGTAAGCTCTTAGTGCCGAAGCTATCCTGTAGTATGGTAAGATGATACTGTACAGGTATAATATATTGTTATTAGAAACTTGTTAGGTATCGCAAGTAATATAATTCACCGGAAATGCTGCGCTAGGCAGAGGAATGACCGAGGTACCTTGCAGTACCTATTAATATACATTTTTAGACAGAATAAAGTGAATCATCCTGAAATCAAGTTGTATTACTAGGACCGAGATAGATAAATATATTACATGGCGATCCTGCCAGTGGCCTTTACTAGAAACTGATTACAGTGCTGCTAGTATAATGAAAAAGGTAGAGTAAGGAAGAAAAATAAGAAATAGTCGTTTAATTTCAACTGCTAGCTCACCCTGAAGATGAGATCAAGAGATATCCTCGCAGAAAGTTCAAGGTATTTCCTCAGAAGTTACTACATTTAATATGGATATACCTTTTGCATAGAATGTTGTTGAAAATCAGTAGAGGAATCCAATGGAGAAGTAATGATGGCGGATATGTGCATGATTATTGAGTAAAAAATAATAGATTTTGGAGGATCAGGAGCAGTGAATTCTTTTTTAGGTTTTTATTTTGGCAATAATATCTAATAGACAAATAATGACAACAATAAACAGTGCTACTGAATGCGTGTGGATGAACACTGGAACAGTGAATAAGATTTATGGTGAAAAAATAATAACGAATTTATAAACCATATGTATATCCATTACTGTGAGTATCAATATGTTGAGTATTTGTAAGGTTAATATTTTTGTGCAGTACTGCCCATCCCGAAAAACAGTTACAACTTAGTTTTATTGTTGAAAATTGAGGCCATATTTAGAAATATCTGATGATTCTTCAAAATTCCCTTGTTGAAAAGTTGATATATAGTTTTGATCGTCACCTAAGCAACATAATATTATATTTTTGGAGTAGTACCAGAGGAACAGTAAGATTAAAAAAGGAATCAGTAATTTGTTGTTAACGGATTTAAAAACTATATCAATGTTTAGACAAACGCCGTGTTACACAACGATTTCCGAGTTCATCGCTGCATAAGTATTATTATTATTATTATGTTGATATGTTACCGGTAATCTGTATAATTCAGGCATTCTATACAATACCTAGGCAATATATAGAATACCTGGGTTGCCCAGGCAATGTATAAAATATTATGAATATTATTATCCATTAGAAACTTTACTTAGATAACGAATACAATTCCTAGGGATTGTATAGAGTACCTGCTGTTCCACCGGCAATGTATAAAATAAATACACTTTTAATAATTAAAAATGGCGACGAATAGAACAACATTCGAAGTTGTTTACTGTATGAGTACAAACTTGGTACGAAAGTGGTTACAAAAATTTTCTTCGGGAGATCTCAGTTTGAGCGATGAATCGCGTACAATGAGGATCTTCGACTAGTTGTGAACGCAACTTCCTGAATAACGTGCCAGGAACTTGCAGAAATATTGAGAGTGAGTCCTGAAATTATTCGTTTGCATCTTCATCAAGTTAAGCAAATGGATCTCACATGAACTGACAAATGATAACAAATTAAGTCGTCTTACCATTTGTTCAGCAAACATTTCACGCAACGCTAATGAACCATTTTTTAATCGGTTATTAACCTGCGACGAAAAATGGGTCATTGGTTGTCACCTACTGATTCGGTACCACACACGCCCAAAGCTTCCTTGCACCCAAACAAGGTACTGCTGTGTGTTTGGTGGACAGCAACTGGAATTGTCCATTATGAAATTTTGGAAATGGGTCTAACCATCACTGCAAACGTATTGTGAGCATCTTCAAGGAGTACAAGCATCACTCATCCAGAAACAGCTTTCTTTGATCAATCGGAAGAAAGCGATATTCTTGCAGGATGTATGAGGCACCGACAGTTCACAACTCGAGATGGTGTAATAAATGCAGTCCCCCAATTTTTGACTCCAAATCCAGGAAGTTCTACAATACCGGCATACAAAAATTGGTTCCACGTTGCCAAAGGTCATTGAATGTGATGGTAATGACTTCGACGAATAAATGGTTAGTATCTTACTGTTTCTCAATAAAGATTTATATTTTTCTACTAAAAACCGCACGAACTTATTTGGTTACCAGATAGATCTTGGTCTAAATTTAAGAATGTTAAACGGCATACCTAGAAAATGACGGGCAAATGAAACAAGTCATATTATTTAAAATTAACACTTAAGGTGCTCCTCAAAAATAAGCTTTATGAAAAGGGTACAAGAAAGCATCTTTCTGTTACTACAGTAAAAATCACAGTAAAATTAACGAGGAACTAAAAATTATTCTGGCTATAAGTAACATAATAATTTTCTTTGCTCACAAGTACGTACGTAATACGTATAAAAAACTAAAATTTTTTAAAATAAAAAAAATATTCTTACATGTACTTAAGAAACAAAATATTCCTCTGAAAATAAGTAGGTTTACTGCGTACTCAAAATTTTAGTTAAGTACATACGTGAAAAAATTATTTATTTTCACATGAGGAACTATTGTTTTGAAGTGCACAAAATCTTCCTTGTTCTCGTCTTTTACATACATTACCGTCTGCGCATAGTATTACGTATTGTATAGAATACCTAGGCAAAGTATAAAACAATTAATATTTCATGCATTACCTACGCGTTTTAGGTATTCTATACATTACCTAGGTATTGTATATATTACCGGATTATACACTACGCCGGTAACAGATACAAGGTTTTACACTTCGGTAGGCAATGGTAGTCAAATGAGTCAAAAGTACTAAAACTTGACATATTTTGGCGACAAACAATGCAATGTAAACATATAGGCGTGGTTCCTTATAATCTATTCGAATTCATTGGACCAGCCGAATGGCTCTTTGAAAGAACTCTGCCATCCCATCGAAACCGGATAAGCGCTAGGCCGCTTCTTGTTAGTCAAGTACATGTGTTCTGGAAGAATTGACGTGCATAGTTCCGTCATTCTATTGAACGCCACTGTGGGCTGTTCTGCTCCAGCGTTTTGATCTGTGTAAGGATTTTTCCATTCGCCTTATTTCATCTATCACCGTACTTCTCCCCACGTCAGCCTGGGTCTTCCTATATTCTTGTGTTCCTAGGGGATCCAGTTAAAGACCATTCTAGTTCATGATTAGTCCATCCCTCTTCGCATGTCAATAGAGAGAGAGACAAAGGGAGAGAGAGAGAGAACTTCGTAATCACAGTTGGAGAGTAAGCTGCTCTTCTTTGGAGAAATTCACAATCTTGGGTATTCTTGAAACGAGTATTACCAAGCGGACGTTTAAGTGTTATTTCTTGAGCATGTAGGAACGTGGTATTGAGGTTCCTAGTTAGCTTCGAAATGTAAACGAACAAACTGGCATGTTGACATGATGGACTGGACTATGAACAATTGTTTCGTGGTATAGGATGTAATTAAATGGTGATTTTGAGCTATTCATTTCGATCAAACTATGATGCTATCTATTTCCTGGACCGTATTGAATAATATTTTAATTTCTGGTGTAATCATGTGGAATTTTGCATATATCTGCTCGTTATAAGAAGTGAATAAAGTTCCTACACAATTTATGATTATGGATCTTTGTATTTTGTATGCTGTGAAATGTTGTTTTTTTGAGTTCGATATAGTTGAAATTCAGGAGTGATGGTCTTGAATATCGAAAGAGACTCAAGTGTCCCAAATACTCAAGCGCAACTCCTTGGTATACCAAGATGCTGTCGTCAACTGAGGCGGGTATATTTTGCCTATGGAAAAATCATTATTTTAGATGACGAAAAGTATTTTGTTTGAGTAATTCTGAAATGAAAGAAAATATCGGATTTTATACAGACAGCGTAAAGGAATGCCCTGACAATATTAGATAGAAACATAAAGCAAAATTTGCAGATAAAATCCTTGTCTGGTGCGCAACTTCTAAAAAGGATATATCCTAACCTATTAATAACTGTCTTTCCAAATTCCTTCATTTTGTCCACGATGCTAATGTCCATATCATGTTTTGGTCATTACTGAAGAGATATCCAAAACTGGCTTCGACAACACCACCTATTTTGTTCTCAAAAACGATAATCCTCCAATCTTGCAGCAGGCTCGCCCAACAGAGGATTTTTGGGCTTTATTGACTAGAAACGTTTAACATGGAGGTTGGGAAGCAGATAGAGAACAATATTAAGACGGAGAATTTAAGAAAATCTGAGAGATTTGATCTAGATTTCGTCCAGGACATTCCAAGAAAGTTGCGTCTGGTAGAGCAGAATGGGCCACTCCACATAATTCAATAGTATAGTTTAGTTAAGTATTGAGTTGTAGTTTATGATAACTAGTTAGTTTCTGAATAAATTCCTTCATTAATGAAATCCGATAAATAGTTTGTGCTAAACCTTTCAGGACTTACGTTATTTTGTTTTTCTCACATCACAATTGAATTAAGTCAAGATATCCTGAATTGGCACAAGTTCTTAACCATCGGAATGGGAATGAAGTATTAAATGCAGACTTTATTTGACTAAATTTACTTTCAATACTTATTATAATGAATATTGTCAACCATATTACCATTTAAATTATGATTGTGTTTCATTCATACGCAATATAACCGATGATTAATTTGAAGGTAGTATATAAAACAAAATTAATCAAACTTATCCTGTTAACTTTATTATCAAAGAAAATAATCATCCCTGACATTCAGTGTTTAAAAATCATCTCTTTAAAATGTCGTCTGTTAGTGTTGTCCATGTGGTCCATTCTGGAATACCAATTTTACTTTCCACGCCTACGGGCGAAATATTTTGAAAATGAGATATACTGTTTTCTAGGTGTTATATGAAAATGACATGTACATCAAGAAAAACAGTGCCACTCATTTCCGTCGGTCTATCTGTCGATTTGTCTGTCTGCTAAAGCTTGGCCTATTAACTTGGGAAGTGTCACCCAGATTTCTATGCCATTTTCACACATAGTTACTACTACGCCAGGGGTGAAATAGCTTTGTTGATTTTGAAAACGGGTCCAGTAGCGGCGAAGCCAGGGGAAAACCACGGAAAAACTAAAATATACTCTTTTTTGATGTTTCAGGGGCTCCTGACCATTTTCAGAGAAGATTGATGGGTAGGGGGCTGTGAGGGGTGGGGATATGTATGTCTCATTTTGTCGAGGGCAATATATATATATATATATATATATAGAGGGAGAGAAAATTATCATACGGAGAAAGGTAGGTATATAATAAAAAATAGGAAAATAATGGACAAAATCCGAAAAAAAAGGAAAGTGGATTCGAGCAGAAAATAGGTAGCCCGAGCGATACGTATTTCTGCTGGTTGACTTCATCAGGCCCGAAATGGATGCACATATGCAACCACAAGAGTACATACATGTAGACATGCCCATACATCCGGAAATAGGAAACAAAGATGGAGACGGGAAAAATGACACACGAAGTCCACAACAAGAGCCTACCTACACATTGTAGTATAAAATGGCTAGAAGACCACCGGCCACAACCACGCGGCCGGTTATAGCCACTTGCTGTGCTACTTCAAGCCCAAAGGATCTAGAAAGAGAATTTTTCAGATTGATATTCATTGGGGACATTTTTTTTTCATCACTGGGATTGCAAAGGATCAAGCATGTTGATGTCATACCGGAGCAAATCTGTTTTCTCGTCATGAATTACATATTCAGGTAGTCACTAAATTTGTATAAAATGATTTAAATTTAATTTAGTCTTATTAGTAATATAGCTTTCGTACTTCCGATCATATAGACGGCTAACCATCTGCTACTTCTCGGCATGGTGCAGGTTTGGTCTCGGATGACAATAAACGAAAGCTGAAAAGCTCTACCCTATGCAGAGTATATGGTTTATCGAAGTAAGAAGGCACAAAGTGCCATCTTGATGTTTTCGCTTTCGCAGTGGTAGGTTCTGGTAATAGATGGCACTTTGTGCTGTCTTATTTCCTAATAACTATTCTTATTATAAAGTTTAGCTTATTCACACTTTTGCATTGCATTGTCTAGTAGTTTTTCAGGCACAGATGGTAAATAGAACTTTTACTTACTTACGTTAATCCTTCTACGCTTTTTCAGTTGTCTCTTATCTTTTATCTCCATTTTGTTATGTCTTTAGCTAATCCTTTCGCTGCTTTACAGTCCAAATGCATTTGTCTACACCTGTATTTCGTCATCCTACCTCCTTCTTGGTGTTCCTTTCGCCTTTTTTTTTTTAATTTTCCATTCTCCAGATCCTTTTCGCCAATCTTGTATTTGGCTTCTAATGTTGTACCCAAATCTACCTAATCTTCTTATTTCTGCATTTCTGACATTGTCCAGAATCTTCAGACCTGCCATTCTTATTAACAGTTTCATTTCACTTGTCTGCATTTTTGCCACTGTTCTACACCATATCTTAGGCTAGGGATATACAGTGAGTTGAACATCCTTATTTTAGTTTTTGTAGATATTTCTTGTTGGTTAAATAGGTGTTTATTTAATTGGACGTATAATCCTGTAGTTGCTTTTACTCTATCTTCTATTTCTGCCTCAACTGTTACCATTATTTCTAAATATTTAAACGGTGTTATTCGTTGTATTATTTGTTGTTCTAATCGGATTTCTATGTCTTGTGGCTCCGTAGAAAAACTCATACATTTTGTTTTGTTCATATTTATTTTCAGTTTATATTTTCTGAGTTCCTCATTCCATACTTCAAGGTTATGTTGCAAGACTTCTTTTTTGTTTGCTGACAGCACTAGGTAACCTGAGAACACAAACTGGTTAATATTTATCCTGTCCATATTATAGTAGCCCCACGTTGTTTTCTTGATTCTACTTCCGCATTCTTTTATAATTTCATTAATTAATACTGTGAATAGATATGGGCTCAATGTTTGTCCTTGTCTCACTCCTAGTGCACTAAAATTTTTAAATTTTTTACTTGTTGCTGTCGGAATTCTTATATAGGCTATACGTTTCCTATTAATTTTTTGTTGTCATTGTAGTTTTTCAGTATACCGCAAAGGTACATTCTATCCACTGAATCGAATGCTTTAGATAAATCTATGAAGCACAGATATCTTATTTCATAATTATCAGAATATAACTTCCTAATGTAGCCTCTCTATTCACCAAAAACTATGAAAAATAGACTTAGAGCGCGAAAAAACATCGAAATGACCATTTTTGTTAATAAGCTCTTTTCTCAAGTTTTGTATCTCACTGGCCCCCTCTGATTTACACCATGAGGTCCCCCCGTTGATCGCTCGTGCCGCAAATCATACTGCATCTAGCTAATCACTTCTCCATCACCTTGTTGATCACAGAAAGCAGAGGTATAGGTCTGTAGTTGAAAGGGTCGGTATTAGATTCTCTGGGGCGGACATGAAAAGAACATCAAAAAAGTATCTCACAATTTATTTGATTCTGAAAGTATCTCGCTTTCGAGAACGAAAATCTCAAGCCAAGACAAAACAACAAATAAAAAGTACGCAAAGTATGTGAAATAACCTCGATTGTAAGCTCAGATATAACGGAAAAGGCATTCGCAAGACGCGATGGTATAAATTCGAGCAACCATCAGTATTATCCAGTAACACGTAAAATCAGTCGAATCAGCCATTATAGCATGATCAAATTGTCCATCAATTTTTACCGTCTCGCTCGTATATCTGATTCGCCCAGTACTAAAAAGAGCTGTAAAATTCACAATATGTGTCCGGATAGTTTAAAAGATAATTTACCTCCTTAATTGCCAACATAAATTAATTGGTATTATATTCCTTTAACGACATTAAGTACTATTTTATTGGCTTACCGTTACCTGCAATGGCGTGCTTATGGGGTTTTTGGAGAGAAATAGCTGCCACGGGGGTTGCATACTTTTCACATTTGTTGATGTATACCGACTTTCGACCGCATGAATCACGTTCTATTACAAAACATCTAGATTTTCAGCTTTTTTTCATTCGTACATTAGTGATCAATGTGTTGATTTGCGTAGTTATGTCTTGGGTACATCAGTGGTACCTCAAGGCTCTGTTCTAGGTACAATAATTTTTTTCGTTATGCTGACGATTTGAACCTTTTTAATAACGTGTGCGGCTTAGGAAGTTTTATGTTACAGACTGATTTGAACATCATTAATCAATGGTATATTCTACTATGATGTTTAGGGATGAACCGACATGTTTCAGTTTTGAAATCGGTAGTAGTCTTTTTCGGCGAGTTGGTGAATTCAAGGATACATTGTACAATAGCTTTGCTTCTTAATACTTTTGTCAGGTCTATTTAAGAATATTGGTCAATTTTGTCTGTTAAAATCAACTAGCTGCTATTGATTGTTCTTTTCTTTTAGATAGGATCTTCCTACGTGTTCCCGATGTACGTACCCGTCATGGCAGTAACATTCAATTTTATTTACCTGTTCCGTGAACAAGTTTTTAGTTATTTTGCCACTTTATGTTATGTGTAAGGTGTGTGAGGGTGTTAGTGAACTTGATGTTTTCATTTCCACCAAGAAAATCTTAGAAGGTGTTCTTTAACTGCTAACTTTGTCTGTTTCATATCACGTACCATCTACAGTTTTCTTTTGTATAAATTTTTTCCCTGCCTGTTAGTTGGAGTTATATGTTCAGGCAGTATATGGATTCTTGAATGAAAATAAATGAAAATTTAAGAATTTGAATTACGAAGTGTGATTAAAAAATGATAAGTGAATAATTTTATTACGGCCAAATTATTCAGCTTACGTCAACCCCTTTCTATTTACTTTCCTTGGCTAGCTATATACTTATCCCAACGGCAATTCTACGATTGGAAGCAATTATGGAAGACTTCTTTCGGAAGCGCCTTCATCTGCTCTGTAGTAGCTCTTTCAATCTCGGGAATGGTGTCAAAACGCACGGTTTTTATTTTTGGGAAGAGTCAGAAGTCCGATGGTGCTAAATCCAGAAAAAAGGTGGATGTGGTCAGGGTAAAAACTAGTAAATCAAAAGCGATAACACGGTGCATTGTCTAGATGAAGGAAAACACTGTTGACCCACTTTTGAGACCTCTTTCTCCATATACGAGTATATTCTCGCAACCGTTGTAATGAGCTTTTGTAATATTGATATTTGGAGTTTACAGGTGTTCCCATCGGAACGAACTCTGATTGCACTATACTGTCACAATAAAAAAAACAACGATAAGTTCCTAAATTTCACTGACTTGCCTCTTTTAGGCGAATAAATTTAGTTTCAATTCTAAGCAAACTTTCACATGATTTTGCTCCTGCTTGTTACTTAATAGTCTCGGAACAAATTACTCTCATGTGCAAATGTGTTGTATCGCGTGTTTGACTGAATCGTTTTTGACGCCTTTTTTCGTTGGTTTTTAAGATCGGACCTTTGCTCTTGTTTAACCGACTCATTCCCGATTTTGAATCGCTCATACGACTTATAACAGCGTTCAGATTTGTCAACATTTTATCCTAAGCCAAAATTGGGCACTATTTGGGTACAATAACCTCAGAATCTGATTACATATTAATAAAGTTGGCCGTTAGTGTTCGCACCGCTATAGCTCACATTATTTTAGATCAATGAGTCAAGAGTGGCACATCGCTTCATACTTTAGCTCAAGAAAATTGTATATTTTTGATTATACAGTAGATCAGGATCCTTCTGAATGATACATGTAACATAACTCGAAGAACAAAGAATATGTTTACTAATTATCATTCAAAATTGAGACCTTTGTGCATAGTTCAAAAATTGGTGGCTGCGAATGCTGT